TGAATAATGTTTTGTAGATTATAGTGTTTTAGCTATTGCCAGTCTATTTCCATTCTTTTGAGATTAAATTTAATTTCTTAATTTTCTGTTCTGTTTATAGAATTTTGAAGGATTCCTTAGGAGGAAATGCCAAGACAGTTATGATCTCTTGTATAAGTCCTATTGCTTCTGATTTTGATGAAACCTTGAATACACTTAACTACGCCAGCAGAGCTCGGAACATAAAGAACAAAGCAACTATCAATTGCAAGAAAGAAGCGGAGCGAGTGGAAGACCTCCAGCAACAGATAAAGTCCCTGCAACGGGCTCTAGAACAGAGACATCGATCAGAAACTAGGATTCTCAATAGGTTTGACCCAACCAAGCCTATACCCCGAAGATCTACAGAAGATCATATGTCCAGGGTAATGGCTGAGTGTGCTCATTACAGGACATGTACAGATACAGGATATCTCCTTCTTATGGACCTTCTTTCAGAAGGCGGCCTCTCGCCTTTTCAAATGCAAAAGGTGAAGGATTGGATGTGTACCGTAGAAGAGGAGAGGAGTGAAGTAACATCAGCCTCTGGTTTGGACAGTGGAATAGAGAGCTCTTCTATTGAGGAACTCGCTGCAGAGCTCAGCAAGAGGCAGGCTAAAAGTAAGGTATGTATCAGAAAACGTAATTTTATTGCCCCGATGGCTGAAGTACCAAGTATATACAGTACATATTTATTTACATGTAGATTGAGGTCTTTTATAGCTTTATGTGATCACTTCCAGTAACATATCTCGTTATTCTGCTTTCTACATCTTACAAAACCACTTGGACACTTATTCAAAGCCACACATCCCAGTCCATCATGCCGTGTCTCTTAACAAGCTTTTCTAAGCAAAGTTTGCATGTCTTAGCCTGCTTTTAAAAAGTTACAACAATGCTATTTATTACCCTCTGGAGCTGCCCTTCGGTGGAGTAAGAAAGATCGTCAAGAGGAGTGCTGTAAATCCTGTGAGAGGTAATAAGTGCCTGTTAGTGTTACACTTATACATTTAGCATGCATGCACTTTCCATGAAAAGATATATCAGAGTTAAGAGTTGTGCCTATGACTTGATGCTGTCTGTAATTTAGGGCTGAATGCAAATTTGAATCTACCTCTACAACTAGATGTGAAGGTGTAATAAATTGGCTTTGCAAATTCCTTCTATCCCTACTACTGTACCAAGGGTGTGGAAATTACCACAGAAAAAATAATAATATATTTTTCAAGCACTAAAGCGGAGGCCCAATCTTCTTGTCCCTCATGACAATCTACATGTCCTGAACCAAAACTGTATTTAACTGTATTGAGAAGCGCTTTTCATTGTTCGGCACGGTCAAGTGCCTGCGCTGACCCATAAGCGCTCGCAATTTGTCAGTAAAATTCAAAATCCATAGCGCAGGGCTGTGCTGGACGGCAGTATAGGGTACGGATAGTACACCCTATACTGCATGCGTTTATTCGCATGCAGATAGCAGGGTTTAATTTTTTTTTTTTATAATTTTCATTTTTTTTTTTTTTTTTACTTGATCACTTTTTTTTTTTAACATTTTTAATTTATTATATTTTATATTTTCACTTAACTTTATTGCTATCCCACAGGGCCTAACAAGCCTGTGTGTGAAAGCATTTGGAGGTGACAGACTCTCTTTATGAAGCCTGCCTCTAGTACAGGAAATCGAGCACAGCATTGTATAGCTGAGACTGGAAGGCTGAAAGTATAAGCAGGCTGCTTACAAATGATCTGTAGCTGTATAGCCGCCCCGATCACTTGTACAAAACGGCTTCCCTGCTCTACATTTAGACCTACTGCTTGCCTGAAGTAGGTCTAAATGTAGAAGAAAAAAAAAAAACACCTGCCCGGCGCCCAGAACTGCATGACCCAGGTGTCGGGCGATAGGCATTCCGCACACCTGCTACTACTCCTTTCCTTGTGAAGAGTGTTCAAAAAACAAACAAACAACATATGGGATCCAAATAAGCAAAAAAGGGAAAAGACTGGGGGCACCAGAAGCATAAGAATACAGGAAAAACTTCCAGTCTCTTATATAAAAAAACATTCATAAAGAAAATGTGACAAACAAAGTTCTGCTCAACTCAGCCTTACTGAGTCCTTGAAGATATCCCTTGTTCCAGGTGAAGTTCCTCTCTGGGAAGTCTATCAAATGGTTCCTGACCGCTTTAGATCCAACAGACCTTTCTTTAGTACGCACCACACTGCCAGTCTCTCCTTGCACTGGGAGACACACTCTCCCCATCAGCTAAGTCCAGCTGCATTAATACTGACCTGCACAGCAACCATCAAAATGTGGTCTATGAAATTGGGAGTCTGCCTTTCCCAGAAACGCTATTGGACTCCCAGTAAAACCAGCCCCAGTACACTTTTTTTAAACAACACAGGGTAAAGAAATACATTTCTTGTATCATGGCTTTACCTTAAATCATGTATTTAAGAAGCCATGGAGGTGTGTGTGTGTGTGTGTGTGTGTGTGTGTGTTTAGTGTATTTGTCACTTGGAATTCCTAAACTTTAAAGTGCATTCATTCTAGGTACTCATTGGATGCCTCTGTGGTTTGGTCTGATTTCTTGTGTACACGACATGCATTTCCAGGGCTTGAAAAAAATTTAGGGTGTGTCGCCAGTCAGTCAAAAATGTCTCCAGTCAGCATGACCGGACTATAGACTTGCAATTTAAGTTAACATTTTTTGCGGACAGATAGAGCTTTCTTTTGGTGGTATTTAATCACCACTTGTGTGCTGGTAATTATGTTATTCCTAGTCAGTGCCAGATTTTGTCTGACACTAGAGGATATCCCTAAACCCTGAGCTCTCTATATACACATACATTTTAAGGATGTGTATCATCGGCTGTTCCCATCCCTCACTTTTGCAAACATGGCACCAAATTATATGTTGATTTGTTAGCAGCGTTGGGCATGTTGCATGTCTTCATCTACTTGTGGGGTTTTTTTTTCCGTTTCACCACTTTTTTTTTTCTGTTTCACCACTTTTTTCCGTTTCTGACTGGAGACACTGGGACTGACCTGAGTACCCTGAATACTCGCAATGGAATTCTTTATTCTTCCATAAAGAGAGTAGAGGAGGTTTTACGCTTTAACTGATTTGGTTATATAACATTCAACATCTGTGATTTGTTAAGTGTGGAGATGGGTGTAAATAAACAGCTTAGTGGAAATTCTGTCTCTGGACGGTTGTTGCATGTCTGCCTGCTTCTGATAAAACTTTTCTTTTATAAAAGTGAAGAGTAATCATAAGCTCTTATAAGTCAGTTTTTTGTTTTGTTTTTTTTACAATAGGTCAAGTGCATATTTGGCAACAATCCCTCCTTTTGGGATGAAATGTCCACGTTTCCTCTTTTCTCTAAATTGCCTCTTAATTAGATGAATACATGAATCTTTAAACGTAGATTCATTATTATTTTCTATTTTTTTTTTTTGTTTCAAGAGTTATGTTCTATGCGTATGTGCATATTTTCTGCAGTTTTATTTCTGTGACCCCGAATTACATAGTTTTTTATTCTGGATCCCCCAATAAGGTTTTTCCAACAGGTAGGGCACCCCACAGGTTATGCTGGCTTTACCTTAAATCATGTATTTAAGAAATCGCGGAGGGACATACCTTCTATCAAATACCTTTCCTGCAAACCCAGCAGGTATACAGGCAGTACCCGAGTTACATACATCCGACCCTGATACGACTCCTACTTACAAACGGAGGCTATTACTGTACAGCAGGGGTAGTTGTAATGCTACCGCGCTCGTGCAGACGAGGAGTCTGGTTTGTAGTACTGTACATACATCACATGAAGTTGGCTCTGATTAGATGTGCAGACGATGGGTGCCTGCCTCTTCTTCCGGGCCACTGTGGGTTTTTACTGCTGTCTGTATCCTCATTAGAAAGATTTAATCTCACTTCCTGTCCTTGAGACAACAGGAAGTGAAAGCAAATCTACAAGGAAGGACAATTCACTCCTGTAACAGTTATCATGTGAAGAAGGTGTCTCCACTGAAGCTTTATCACCAATCCTTGTTTCCACGACAACCCAAAATTTTCGAAATCCAATTGTCAATGGGATAGAAAGTGAGGTGAAATCTTCTGAACAGGGGCACACACAGCAAAACAAACTTTACAGGGGATAAACTCTTCCCTATGCTATCCAAAACAAAACAAAAAAAAAGAATTTGTGCTGGAGTTACATTAAAAAAATGTACCTGTTCCAACTTGCATACAAATTCAACTTAAGAACAAACCTACAGTCCCTATCTTGTTCGTAACCTGGGGACTGCCTGTGTTCACTTAACACAGGGGTGCCCATTAGGTCGATCGCGATCTACCAGTCGATCGTGTATCAATCACTGGTAGATCGCGATGTCCTGTCCTCCCGCCATGGTCATCTCCTCTGGATCCCCACTGCTCTCCCCATCTGTATGCAGCGGGGATCCGAGGAGAAGTGAAGGAACCGCTGCAGCCGGCGGCGGGGGGCGGAGGAGGGAGCCGCTGTGGCAGAACTAAGGCAGAGCGGTGAGGCGAGAGAGAGAGACGCTCGGCCAGGATCTGACACCCGCCACCTCTATCTCCCCTTACCGCTCGGCCTTAGTTCTGTGACAGCGGCTCCCTCCTCCGCTGCCCCCGCGGCTAAAGTGCTTCTTTCACTTCTCAGATCCCCCGCTGCCTCTGCCCAGGAGAGCAGCAGGGATCCAGAGGAGAAGCTGAGCCTCCGTGTGCATGGCCAAGCGGCGGAGGATCAGTACATATCAGTGATATGTTCCGATCCCCTGTGCAGGACAAACACTGGAGCGAACAAACAGCCTCTCAGCGCTCTTCTAATATCTGTAAATATCTAGCCTGAATTGTTCCAGAATGAGTTGTTGGCATTCTCCAAGGACAGACTGATCACCACCTTTCCATCGTGTTCTTGTAATGACTTTGCTGTTAACCTGCTGTTTATCTTAATGGTAGGGGTCATTGAGCTTCGGGAACCCAAGTGGAGTAGAGAAAGACAAGTGCATTGAAGATCTGAGAAGTAAAATTCAGAAGCTGGAAGATGAGAATAGAGACTTCCTGGCTGCACTAGAAGATGCCATGGAGCAGTACAAGTTGCAGGTACCCTCTGTAATCATGAAAATGTATGGATGTTTACTTTTTTGTTTTGCATTGTAAAGCCTATTAAGAGGCTTATGTATGATGGCAACCTTTCAGCATATTTGTGTCATTTTCATAGCTGGACTGCAGAAATGACTATTAGAACCTGATTGGTTGGTATTGGCAACATGAGATCTTCCTGTTGAGTTTGTGCTGCTTATATTCTTTATATTGCATGATTGTTTATGGATAATATAATTCATATACAGGCACTTATGGTGCATGCACCTCCTCTCGGAGAACCAGAGTTTCCCACAGAAACTGGTTTCCTGAAAAGAAATAATTTTATAGATGTAGTTTTGGAGGCTGAGTCAACCTACAACCTGACTGCCGCTTTAATTTCAGAGAACGGGAATACTCCTACCTGTGTTGCTAACATATAACATTGTTCCCAGCAATATTCTGGCCCACCATGGAGTGTTCCAGTGCTTTTTGCTTCATTCTTCATATTATAAGATTAATCTTATAATATGAAGAATAAATGCACAATACTGTGTTGTTTTGCATTCTGTCGCTCAGCGCATCTATGGTGTGGTACCGTGCACTGGTGCGTTGCGTTGCCATTAATTTTGTATACCACCCCAGCAACGCTCCCTGCCACCGTGTATTGCAGCGCAACGCACATTAGGGAATATTGCACTACTTTCCTTTCACCATAATGCAGTGTATTGCCGTGCTGTGCTGCGCTGTGTTGGGAGGTGCATTAGGTGCCATTATGAATGGCACATGGCAAATGAATGGCAAAGCAGTGCACCTATCGCACGGTAACACACTATGTTCCCAATGTACCAGTAAATCTAAAGCTCTACTTCCTGTACCTACCTGGGTGTCAGATAATTACCCATTGAAATGTATACAGCTCGGTGCTAGGGAATGTGTAAACTTGACACAAGTCCTTGAAGTAGGTTACAGCAGGTTTATAGGTGGTAGTTTTGGGTGGCTCCAGGAGCCATTTAATAAACATGCCTTTTATGATTGTTGTACTAGTTCAGTCCTAGTTTACAAGTATCCATACATTGTATTACAGAGTGATAAGCTGCAAGAACAGCAAGATGAGATTGCTAGGTTGCAAAGCCACCTGGAACATCGGAAGCCTGATCTGTCTGTCACAGCCCTACTGGAAGATGTGCACTTGTTAAACATTGGGGGCAGACCAAATACAGCGCCTCTAATTAAAAAGCATTCACATGCTATTGAGCAGAACAAGCTTTTACCCTTGAGATACCCCAAGCAAAGAAAGGTAAGAGTAAAATAGAGTAATTGTGTAATGTGGGAATACCAAAATCTACAATAATCAGGAATACTGATCTGAAAACTCATTTTATTTTTAGCGGAATGTTGACTTAATCAGTGTGCTGCTTCTTCTTCTTCTTCTTCTTCTTCTTCTTCATTGTTCTGTAATAGTGTAGGAGAAGGGTTGGTGATCATACTTGTGTTTCTTCATTTTGGTGGACAATAGTAAGGGCCACACATTTGCAATGTGACAGTAGTGTGTGAATCTCTGAGCTAGCTAAACAAAATGATGCATCCCTTCACAGGTAAAACCATACACATATACACATATGTCAGCTTTGCAATTAGCTGCTTAGGGTTCAGCTTGAACTTTTATTTCTGTTTTTGTGGTATCCATTAATAACTTATCTGGCCTCTTAAAGAGGAACTAAACTCTGCCAACCAATTGGCTACCAGGTGGAGGGGGATGAACTGGGAGATTGATTGGTTGAAACTCAAAAATTAACAAAATCGTCCTGGCTTCCTGAGTAGCGTCAGCTTCGCACAAGTGTGTAATGCCAGAGATGGGTGCATTACTCTTCAGTTCAGCGCTTCTGAGTTTGAATGATGAGCTTCTGAATGCTGCAAAATCTCCACTGCATGGCCACCAATTAACAGATAAGATGGACAAAGGAGAAATGATTGAGAGTGAGTTACTACTACTCAGGTTACTACTACTTCCCCCACCAATGCATACCTACCTCGATCCGATGGGTGTGGTTGTGCTCTTTGTTTATATCCAGCGTCACAAGTCTTTACTGTCATGGCTACACCTGTGCATTACAGCCGCATATGGGACTGTCTCTGGCTTGGAACACAGCACCTTAGAAATGAATAGGGCACTAATGAGCAAGCACAGCCAGGATAGTGAAGACTTGCATCGCTTGATGTAAACAAAGAGCAGAACCACAGCTGTCAGATCAAGGTAAGTATGCATCTCCCAGGGAGGGGGGTTGCTTTAGAGGGATCGTTAGATCCAGGGAAGGAGTCAAAAAGAATAAATGCACTTTGTTTTAAAGTGCACTTATTCTTTAAGGAAGGGAAGCCTCAGGAGGATTTTGTTAGTATCCACCCAAAGGTAAAACATCAGTTTTAGCCGGTCTCTTAAATGAAGTAAAGACAGAAAGTACACAAGACCATTTTAAATCTGGGACCTGCAACAGCTTTATGTCTTCATAGTTAAGAATATCATTGCAGTTCCTACAGTTCCCACAGGCTGAAAGAGGGGTTAATATCCTGCAGGTTCTGTGTGTTGCCAAGACCAGGGTTTTCTTTGGCAACTGATATATCAAAAGAACAACACAGGAAGGAGCAGCCCAAACCTCCCTCTATCTTGCAATGATAATAGGAATTTGTAAGGCTGCAACTTATATGCTGATTTTTTTTTTTTTTAAGGCATGCTTCTTTAACCACTTCAAGACCAGGTGTTTACACCCCCTTCCTGGCCAGGCCATTTTTCAGTATTCAGCGTTGCGATACTATGACTTACGTTTATTCCGTCATGCAACGCTGTACTGAAATGAATTTTACACCATTTTTTGGGGACAGATAGAGCTTTATTTTGGTGGTATTTAAAGCTGAATTCCAGACAAAAAAAGATTTTGGTTTATTTGCACAGTAAGAATAAATGACCAACAATGAATGCTGTAGCTGCAAAAGTTGCCACACTTCATCATTGATAATTTGTACTGTGCAGAGATTCCAAAATCTTTTTTTTTTTTTTTTCTCCGGAATTTTTTACAATAGTTTTCACAATTACTATGAGTATTGCATATCTACGTTCCAGATTTCAGACAGTGTTGTATTTTTGTCCAAGGAGCTGAAAAAGAGCTTTCAGAGTGACACACAGAAGCTGGTATCCAGTCTGGAGGAGGGAGACACTGTGCTTTATAGACATTTCAGTGAAGATTCTGATCTTACAGCAGACTCTGATGAAGAGGAAAATAAAGAGAACTATGTATCTGAGAGAGAATCCATCAAGTCCTACCCATCACATAGGTAAACGTATCCTATTTTTGGGGGGCCTTCTCTGAAACCCGAGGCTCCTTTATGTAAACTGAGTTATAATTTGCTTAGTGCTTCTTTCAAGCAATTCCTAAACTGTGTTTAATGTATTCTGAGGTGAGCTGACATGATTTTAAATATAAATGACTCTTTGTAATGTTACTAAGTGTTTCCTCTTATTTTAGAAGCTTGTCCTTTTTATTTATATATATATAATGTCTGGTAAATACATTTTACTGTATCTGGTATAGGTGTAAAAATTCCAAACCTCAAAGTGGAAACTGGCCTACATCTCCCCAGAACAGTGAGGAAGACGAAGAAGCTGTGTTAGACAGGGATACAAATGAAGGTAAGTAGAATTTCATACAGGCAGCACCTGAGTTACGAACATCCGAGTTACATACGACTCATACTTACAAACGGAGGTCCCAGGCTGTTCCACTAGTTGTAATGCTGCCGTGGTCGTGCCGACGTTCATAGTACTGTACCTCCTGTACATTACCAGAAGTTGTTAGACGTGCAGACGAGGAGTGCCTGTCTCTTCTGGGTCCGGTACTGTACATTACAGGAAGTTGTTAGACGTGCAGACGAGGAGTGGGTCTGCTTTGTACTACTGTACCTCCTGTACATTACAGGGAGTTGTTAGACGTGTAGATGAGGAGTGGGTCCGGTTCGTAGTTCTGTACCTCCTGTACATTACAGGAAGTTGTTAGACGTGTAGATGAGGAGTGGGTCCGGTTCGTAGTTCTGTACCTCCTGTACATTACAGGAAGTTGTTAGACGTGTAGACGAGGAGTGGGTCTGGTTCGTAGTACTGTACCTCCTGTACACAACAGGAAGTTGTTAGACATGCAGACAAGGAGCGCCTGACTCTTCTCCCTGGTCTGGTACTGTACATTACAGGAAGTTGTACAAACATCTGTCCAAGTTGCATTTACAGTAAAACTACATGCAAATTTTATTTGTTTAGTTTTGGTTAGTATGGTGCGGGGTTAGAACCACTGTGAGGGCAGCAAAACAAATGTTACAGGGGGTTAACCCTTCCCTATGCTATCCAAAACTCAAAAATGTTTTCTGGCTGGAGTTACACTTAAAAAAATGTACGTGTTCCAACTTTCATACAAATTCAACTTAAGAACAAACCTACAGCCCCTAACTTGTTCGTAACCCGGGGGTCTGCCTGTACAGTTGATTGATGCTCTCAAGGCCTTGTACATTGTCCTAGTTCTTGTTCTTAGAGAGAACAAGTCACAATTAGGTTTATGCACGAATCTGAACATTTAGTCTTTAATTGTTATAACTGTGCAGGTTTACTTATGAAAAATGTATATTTCCACTTTGTATACTTTTGATGTTCTGAGTCTTAGCTTGATACTGTAGCTGGATTGTCATGGGGTCAGAGGTTTGCTGATGTCTGACAGTTGTAGGTCTGTCAGCTCGCTGACCTCACACATCCCCACTCTGCCCACTCAAAAACTGAAGTACAGTGGGGGGGATTCATAAAAACTGGAGCAGACAGAATCTGGAACAGTTGCCCAAGGCAACCAGTCAGCTTCTCTTTCATTTTCGAAGCTAAAAACGGACCTTTACCCATATATTTACCATAACAACAAACACACCTTTAGAAATGTTTAGTAATGACAATCTACAAAGACATACTTCTAGATAATTGCCGGCTGTGTATTCTTTGCATTCCTTATTTCTCTTCTCTTTCCCAGTCTTCTGGCAGTGGCCATGATTACTAAGGGGAGATTAATCCATCTCCCTTTACTTCCTGAAAATTTGGCACATGTGACTAGACATGTGACCATGCACATGATCTCAGGGGAGGAAAATGACTTTCTCTGAGATGAGATTTCCTAGCAATGCTCTGCTGATGACAAGGCAATCCCAGTGTGCATTGATTTGGCAAACTGAAGTCATTTTACCCTTTCAAAGCAGGAAGTGAATGCTCTGCAAGGGTAAGTATTTCATAATCCCAGCGTTTTACACCGGACATATCTGTTATTATTGATCATCAAACATAGAGGGATGCATTGGTAGAATTTGATTTTTGAGTGTAAAGGTCCGCTTTAACTGAACAAACTGAAGAGAGCTGCTGATTGGTTGCTATAAGAAAACTGTCTGCTCCAGTTTTGATGCGAGTATGTAAGGTCAGGTTTTTGACAGGCCATCAGTTGTCAAATTAAAGGTGACCTTTGACCAATCTATTTCCTCAGCAATGGCAGCTTGCATATTTTGATCATGGCAAGGTCTTCTTCACATAGATATCGCACTTTTGTACATTAGCCTGTAATAACCAGGGATGGGGAATCCGTATTGCCCGACATCCGGGACATGTAGTTTCAGGTGCCAGGCGAGGAGGTTTTTTTTTCTTCTACATTTAGCCCTGCTTCGGGCAAACGGGGTTAAATGTACAGCGGGGGAGCCGGTGCTCATTTTGTACAATTGATTACAGCCATCTAGAACACTTGTAATAAGCCTGCAGGTCCCCCCCAGGCCAGGAGACACACCAAACTACTAGGTCTTGGGTTAGTATGTGTGAAATCTTTTGTGCTTTTAGACTTGTGTGGCTGTATGACAGGATACAGATCTACGTGCTAAAAAAGTGTCTGTGGGGGTTTGATCTTGGTAAATGGTGTAAATTTCTGATTGTGTCCCCCACAGCTAAGTATAAGAAGACAGACCAACTTGTTCTGGGAGACAGCCCTACCCATGAAAGAGACTCTAAATGGAGGTTGCGTCGGGCTGAGCAGAAGATCCGGGAACTTGCTATCAACATCCGAATGAAGGAAGAGCTTATTAAAGAGTTGGTTAAAACTGGTGAGGCTTAGGACATTTTTATCTCACAGCTGTTAGTCACATAATAAACAAGACTCGCCGATTTGTACATGTGCTTAATAGCTCGAGAATAATTCTTCCGTTTTTACGTCTTTTTTTTTTTTTTTGTATGTGTTTTTGATTACCGTATTTTTCTCTCCATAAGACGCACTTTTTTACTCCCAAAAGGCGGGGGTAAATGTACCTGCGTCTTATGCAGCGAATCCCTATCGCCCGACGCCCGAGACATGCTGTTTCGGGCGCTAAAGCAGAGCTAAATGTACAGTAGGAGCCACCGCTCGTTTAATACAAGTGATCTAATCAGGTCACTCGTATTAAAACCGAGTGGCGGCGATCGAGATCACCATAGAGCAGATGAAGAACGGACGTTCTTCGTCTGCTCTGTGTGATCACTGAGACCATGGCGCTGTAATTACAGCGCCACCTGTCTCAGCGGTCACTAACTGCAGCTTCTGTCACAGAATATGGGATGTCTGGTCTATCTGCTATATTGAAGATGATGGCTGCACTTTTTCTGCAATGGAGACCTGATTGCCTACCCAACTACGGAACAGACCTTTTTGCACCCAAGTCCGAGAGGTTTCATGCTTAGAGAGGAACTTGACCCACCAATTTATTGTCTCCAAAGAGTTACTTTTATGGCACGCCAACTGTCAATGTTGTCAATGTGCTTTTTTCAGCTCTCAACCTCAAATGGCTGGTGTCGTAGCTGATCACATGTGCAGCACCATGGAAACTGCAATCCACATGAAGGCTAAGATGGCATCTTCCTTGGCTGTAATGGATAGGATGTTGTAGTTCCTCTTTAAAATGATAAGGAGGGATTGTGGGAAGCATACTTATTTGTATCTCCATTATTTAAAGTGGCTTCCAATTTTTATTTTATTTTTGCAATATCAAGTGAAACATTTTACACGTTACTCCAAATAGATTTGGTTGGAGGAGGAATGTTTGATTTCCTGCTGGGATCCTGGTGAGTAGTTCTTCCTTCAAAGCTGTTATAGCTGTGCTGGTTTCAAGTTAGCCCCTGTATTGTTATACAGAATCTATTGAAGGGTTAGTGATAGAGTTATGTCTGTATTTCTGAAATTATTAGCAATAACTACAAAACCTTGAATAATTTAAGTCATACAATCAATTTTGTGTGTCAGGAAGAGAAGCTCAGGCCATGAATAAACAGTACTGTGTGAAGATCTCTGAACTGGAGGCTGAGGCAGAACAGGTACGGATGGAGGTCAGTGAGAACCAGCGCCATCTGCAGGAATTGGAAAGGAAAGACACGCGGGATCCAGTGGAGAGATCCAAACTGCAGGAATACCGCAAGAAGATCGCAGCCGCTGAGAGTAAAGTCCAGGTGTGTGAGCATTTGTGTGCTTAGCAGATTTAGTCACATACTAATCAGTGCTGACTTTTATGACAGGGTCTGTGCTTGTGGGAAACTATAAACTTATATCCTTTGTTGGTGTAATATTTTCTAAAATGTATAAATGCAAGGTCTCTGTATTTATAAAAATAGGTACATTATGTGTGACATGGACTTCTACAGAACAAAGACGGCGTGCAATAACAAAGGCTGCTGATCTGTTTTTACTTCAAAGGAAAGTTAATATTTAAGGAGGCACATGCCACCCCTATTCTTTCATAACCTTAGAGTTTCTTTTACTATTTTGTTACAAAGGAGAGTCCCTCTGTCTGTGTCCTCTGTCTGTGTCCTTTACAATAATGAAACTAACTTCTTTTATTGTGTTAAAGGTGTGTTCCATCCAAAACAAATATGATTGTCTAATTTTTCCTTTTAGCTCCTCCATATTGCCCCCCCCCCCCC